AAAAGTTAATCATTAAATCATAGAGGCCAGTAGTGACTTTGACTTGATACTTAAGATATCATATACCATACAAAGCTTGAATGAAATTAGCATTAAGTATTTTGAAAATATCCACTCTCTCAATAATTAAAATAAATCTAAGTAAAGCAATTCAGTTCAACAGAATACAGAGGATTAATTATACTTTATAAGAATGATTTGACATAGGCTCATGGCAGGAAGAATACGTGGCCCATATAAAGTGAAAGAGCAGAGATGAAAAGGCTATAACATAACAATTTCTAATGTAGTGAACAGCATTTGTAAGGGAAGAACAGCACACCCATATGAGGATGTGAAAAAAACCTTTAAACAGCATTTCTCACCATACATGAAACTGCCACTATAATTTACAACTTTCAAAAATGTGTTGTGAAGGAACTCCTCCCCACTCATAAAGCGATTGCCTAAAAGTTGCACACCCTTATCATGGTTAGTAGCCTATACAATCACCTAAGTATAATTATTAATTACTAACATGTTTTTTTAATATGCTAATTATGAACTAGTTTTTATCCTAAGTTTCAACTGCTAATCTACTGCTGTGGTCAGGGGAGTTCTGAGAAGGAATACAATCTGTACTGGTAGTGGCTAGGATTCAATCCTGGGTCTTCTTGATGTAAGTCTGGTGAGTATCCCCACAACCGAGGTCTCCCACATTAGGACTTGAATCCCCTTATTATATAAATGTTTTAAAAGAGGGGTGTAACCAAGTTTTGCTGACTTCTATGCTAGGCTGATTGAGTAATGTTTTAAAAGAGGAGTGTAACCAAGTTTTGCTGACTTTTATGCTAGGCTGATTGAGTATGTTATCAGTTAGGTGAATGCAGAAGGCTTCTTTTATCTTTCTTTTCCTCGTGTGTAATTCATATCCTATTATTTCAGTACTATTCCAATTTATTGTAGTCTTCTTCTCTGGCATCATCAGTTACTGCAGATAAATCAGTATTACAGAATCTTGTATGTTTATTAGGCTTCTGAATTCTAACATTTGTTGGTGTTTTTGTTTGTCAAATGTATTGGAATCCACATCTGCAGGGGATGTTGTAAATGTTGTTTTTCTCTCTATTGGATATTTAGGTGGTTTGTTGTGTACTAACTGCAATCATATTGCTTTGTTGTTTCTGAATGCTGTTCTGACTTCATGTTGTTTACATAGGGGGATCTGGCTGTATGTCTGTAATTTTATTTCTGTTTATTCTTGGTATGCTAGCCTTTAGTGAACTTCCACCTAATCTCATGAAATTTTCTCACGAATTGCACTACTGCATAATGACATCATTATGCAGCAAAAGCCCTCTACCAATAGGAGGGCAATACAACCTTCTTGTGCACTAACTACCTCTATGCATTTGCACTCATGAATCTTCATTCTTTGATGACAAAAGTAAGAAATGTGCACCGAAGCGGGAAGGATGAGTGTCTATCAAAATAACATTTTTAGGTAAGGAAAATGTTAACTTCAGAGAAGACACTACACCACACCTCTTCACACATTTAAGCTACAATCCCCTGTTGAAGTGGTGGAGGGGCTGGTGCAAAGATTATCCTAGATGAGCTACCTTCAGAAAGTATCTGAAGGAACACCATGGAGTGTGACACCCGATCCATAGGTGCACAATCATGAGAGACTGTATCTCATCTCTTTCAGGGTATACGTTTTGCCTGAGAATAAGGGAGGAAAAAAGCAAATGAGCCCCATGTGTCGCAGAGATGGGCAGAATAAGAACAGGGTCCTAATTTCACACAAGAGGTTGGAGAGCCAATATGTGTAGCATGGCTGGGACACATTCAGACTGAACCTTGTGCTCACCTAAACTCTACTATCAGACTTTGTTTGACTGACACTACCTACAGAAGGAGGGTACAATAGTCATGCCATAGAGAGTAGTAGTGTGTGTGCAAACCTCATCTCAACTGAACAGACATCAGCTGCAAGAAGAGGGCTTGACTATTAGTGCATGCTCACCTCATCTACTAAACAGACAATAGGTTTGTTTTGAATTTTGCACAAAGCTACATGAGGGCTATCTACGCTAGCCATCCCTAATTTACCAGCGAAAAGACTAGAGGGAAGGCAGATAGTTGTCACTACCCACTACCAACTTTTGTGGGATTGAACATCACATTATAATACTCCCATGGCTGAAATGGTGAGCATGTTTGGTGGGATGGGGAATCGAACCCACAATCCTCAGATTGCGAGTCAAGTGCCCTAACCACCTGGCCATGCAGGGCCTAGAGAGAACAGCAGGAGGATAGCACTGTATAGTAGTGTGTACCCATCTTGACTCTACTGAACAGTCGCAGGCTGCAGAAGGAGAGCACATATCATATGATGTGCTTGCCTCAACTCTACTGAACAGACTGGCTGTAGGAAGAGGGCACAGCATTATAGTGTGTTCTCACCTCAACTGTACAGACTCGGACCACAGGTGGATGGCATATATCGTGTAATGTGCTCACCTCAATTCAACCGACTATGCTCTGGCTGCAGAAGGGCACAACATTATAATGTATGCTCATCTCAACTTAACTGTACAGACTCAGGCCACACGATGCAGAATTTTTGGAAACATATACACTGAGAGGCACCACCAGCCACATAGCAGGTTCCTATAAGTAAATGTTCTAAAAAAGAAAATGTACTTACCAGTCCAGAGGCAGAGGGTAGACTATGTAGAATGGCACAGGCAGACAGTAATCTTCGGGATACAAGACAGCCAGATGGTGATGAAGGTGTGAAGAGTAGTCCACATGCCCACCTGAAAGAACTCATCCAGTAGCAGCTGGAAATGAGAGGTGAGAGAATGAGAGAGGTGAATAACCTAATGGGAAGAATGTGGAACAATCTGTAAGCACCAATCCCAAATGTGGTGTAGACTAAACACATAATTAGTTGAACCTAACCTGTAAGGGTATAAGGAGAAATGTCCCTGGAGGAAGAGGAATTCCAGAAGATGAAGAATCAGTAACAGGAGCCTCAAAAGTATGAGGTACAAGATAAGTAGCAACGAAGAGCACAAACAGAACATAATTGTCTGTCCAGGTCCAATTGATCATAGAGGTGACAGACAGAAGGAAGGAAAATAAGCGAGAAAAACCAGTCACCTATCCAAGCAGCAGAAGTCTTAGCCAAGGCCTGGTCAGGAAAAAGAAGAATATAAGAACAATGGAAGAGAGCACAGGAAGAATGGATAGCATAATATCCAAATGAGGGAGACTAGAGAAGAGAAATAAGAGGAAACAGGTCTTGAGAGAAAGGTGGAATAAGGTGCAAGTTGGCAAAGGTTAAAAGGGTTCATTGAGGTCCCAGTAAGACATGGGGGCAGGGTGAGAGGGTCTATGGAGAAGGAAGGAATGGAACAAGGTGGAGAGATCTGGGGAGGAAAAACACCCTGTGGTATCAAGAAAGGCAAAATATTGTGGACATGGCTGCACAATAACTGGCAATAATGGAAAAAGCTAATCCACAGTCAAACAGTGAGGATAGATGGCCAAAAGTAGGATGGTCAGGAGGAGGGTGACAAAGGATGGACGAATAGCAAAAAACATGCTATTTATGCTGGTAGGTGTACAAAGTAGAAGTGCGACAGGAATGAGAAAGGAAAAACTACATCATTGGAGAGTTCAGTTCTATGGACAAGGGACCAGACAAATCCCAAACATGAAAGTGGAGGGTTGAGATCCCTTGATGGAACAGTGAGATGTGAGGTTGAAGCAAGAGAGAGAGAGAGTATAGTTGGCAGT